GCTTCTCCCGGCCACCCCCGACTCCCCCGGCCTGGAATGTTCCTGGCTCCGCACGTGATTCCAGAGGGCCGTGCAGTGCCTGAATGCCTGGCCCTGGCAGGCCCCCTCGGAGCCGAGCTGTCTGAAGGGGAACGGGAAGGCTTGGTCGTGACGGGTACTTAGCCATGCGGCTAGCCAGACAGAAGCTGGCCATGGTGCAGAGTCAACCGCGAAGGCTGTGACGCTGTCTCTTGGCAACCTGTCCAAAACAAAACTCAACGCCCTAACATTGGTGGCAGCACATCAGGGGGAGTGAGAGGAAAACTTGGAACACGCCCCCAGGTCAGAGCCAAATCAATCAGGGGCTCCTGGGTCATAGGACTGATTTCCAGGGCCTGTCCGCCCACGCTTTCTCATCTCAGCATCTTTTTTTTTTTTAATTTTTATTAGTGAAACGCCATGAGGTACAGTTGTAGGCTTACAAATTTTTGTGCTTGGGTTTCAGTTATACAATGATCAAGTACCCATCCCTCCACCAGTGCCCATTTCCCACCACCACGGGTCCCAGTATCCCTCCCATCCCTCATCCCCCCATCCCCCCCATCCCACCCTGCCTCTGTGGCAGGGCATTCCTTTTTGTTCTCTCTCACTTTATTGGGTGTTGTGGTTTGCAACACTTTGACAAACTGGCAGGCTACCGAATGTAGCCTGCCCACACGACACAGTCTGGCAAACTCCCTGTGGTGTACCCAATATGCCAAATACCAGTAACAATGATGGGTCTCATTCTCCTAAAGAGCCTTGAATGTAGCACTTTCTTAAAAATCTCAGGGCTAGGATGAAGGAGACGTTACTGGGGCCTGCTCGAGGCAATCGACGAATAACAGGATGATCTGTGATCTGTGGTTTGCAAAAGAGGCAATGGGTGACAATCAGGTTTGGTCTGTAGTCCACTTTCAGCAGGCATCTCTCATCCTGGGAGGATCCTCCCAACACCCTTTATTTGGTGCTCTTTATTTCAGCATCTTTTAAACATTTCAATAAGAGTGAGCAATTTTGTCAAAATCATTGCTCTCCACAGAGGCTTTTTTTGGTTTGTTTAGGTTTGGGGGGTCATATCTGGTAGTACACGCCCGACTTAGTGCTTGGGGTCGTTCCCAGTGGTGTTCGGGGGACCCTGCGTGCCGGGGATCCGTCCTGGGCTGACCTCACATGCTAAGCCGGTCCTCCCACCCAGGAGCTTTCTCACGCTGGCTCCCACGTGGCCTTTTGTGTTTGGCTGACTGTTTCAAAAATTCCGAGGTTTGATTGTGAACATGTCTACAGCCCCGTGGGATTGCCAGGCATGCAGGGGATGGGGGGGGGGGGGGGGAGGCTGAGCACAGCCATGTCATGCTGGGTACCTACTCTCCTGGTGAGGTTGGTCTTGGGGGGCTGCTTCCAGGGGTCCTCAGTTCCTGGAATTTCAGCTCCAATTATGCAAGGCTGGTGGTTTACATAAGGAGATTCTTCAGCATCTCCAGACACCAAATTCCGCAGTCTCTTGTGGTGGCCGCCTGAAATCTAACCTCTGATCCCGCTGCTTTTCTGAGGCCACAATGGTAACCCCACGGCTGCAGCTGAGCTTGGTGCTCGCCTTGTTGTTCTTGTAACACTAGGTTGTTTCTTCTCATCCGGAGGCCTCTCTCTTCTCCCACTTCCTCCGGTGCCCTCCTCCCTCCCTCCCCTCCATGACACCCCCTCCACAGGTCTGCGTTCTGTCATTCAAAACATTTCTTCCCCCTTGCTTCCAACTTTCCTGAGTTCTTTCCTTTGAAACGAGACCGGGGTACCACCGCCCACTAACCGACCTCTTGGTGAAATTCGAATGCCACCTCTCCTGCGTTTTGTCAGGTGCATTTCCTGATGTTGGATGGCTGACTGTTGCAGAAGCGTCACTCTGAACATCTCCTCACTTGCACTGGTTGAGGGATGGGTACTCGATCATTGTTTAGCCGAAACCCAAGCACAAAAATTTGTAAGTCTGCAACTGTACCTCATGGTGTTTCACTAATAAAAAATAAAAAATAAAAAAAAAACCCAAACATCCCCTCACTTGCAAACTGGATTTTGCTTGAGGGTTTTAGCCTCTGGCTGCGAGCACCCTTGCAAAGGTCCCGTTGAATTGAATTCCCGGGGCCTGCTCCTTTGCTGCCCGAGAACACCGCGGGACTGGGACTCGATTCCGGTGTGTCAGCAGAGCTGTCTTTTCCACCCTGGCTTTCCGGCAAAGTTTATGCCTCCTACTGAACAAGTTCCTCTGCCCAAGGGGTCACCCTCCCCGGAACCCCTCACTGTGCTGTTCTCTGGGTGCGGTGGGTGGGCTGTCTTGGTGACCTGGGGCTCTGCAGACGGAGAGCAGTTATTGGTGGGGCTGGGAAGAGGATGGGCGCAGAAAGGCATGCTGCAATGCTCGGGGCTACTTCTAGCTTGCTCCCCAGAAATCACTCCTGGTGGTGCTCTGGGCGAACACGGGGTGTTTCCTGTATGTAGAGTGTTGATGGTATGGTAGACTTGTGGCAGAAAATGTTGTGTGTGTGGAGGTGGGGGGCTTACTTCATGCTTAGTCCTGATCTAAGGATCTTGGGTGTTAAATTATTATTATTTTTTAACCTTTAGGCAGTTACTTTTTCTTTCACTTTACAGATGGGTTTGCTAGTAAGTGGGGGGCAAGGGGAAAGAATGGGTTTTTCCACAACACCCAATAAGAGAGAGAGAGAGAACAAAAGGGAATGCCCTGACACAGAGGCAGGGTGGGATGTGGGGGATGGGGGGTGGGAGGGATACTGGGATCCGTGGTGGTGGGAAATGGGCACCGATGGAGGGATGGGTACTTGATGATTGTATAATTGAAACCCAAGCACAAAAGTTTGTAAGTCTACAACTGTACCTCATGGTGTCTCACTAATAAAAATTAAAAAAAAAAAAAGAATGGGTTTTCAGAACCCAGTGATCTATCAGAGTCCAGTGCCGAACCCCTGTGACCCTATGCCAGCATCTGCCTCTGTGCCAATTCTTGCCCTCTCTCGCTTCAGTACCCAGTGAGCGTTTATTGTGACCCGTTAGTAAGCTGTGTACCCAGCCTTTGAAAGCAAGATAGTTTTGACTCCTGGGGGAGGCCTCTCTCTGGCTGGTCCTTGTCCTTCTGGGATCCAGTGCACAATTTCTATCCTTTCTTCCTTGAGCTATCAGCTGCCCTTTGAACCACGTGGGTTTCTGATGATGCAGGTTCACTTATGCAAAGAAAATAAAGTGTTGCTTAATGACTATTCCTGCTTTATCGTTTCATCTCATGCTTTTCTGAATAATATTTTCTTTAGCTTGCTTCATTTATAGGATTAGAGTGTAAGAATGATACGGCGTATGTTAATTGACCTTGTTAATAGTCTACTGATGCTTTTATTTCTTTCGGGGTCATGCTCCCGGGTGACTCCCTGCCCTGCTTAAGAACCGTGCAGTACCAGAATTCAGACCAGGGCTCACTGATGAAACAGATGTGCCCCGATGCTCCAAGCTGTCTTCGCAGTCCTGACAACAGTCTATTGATTGGGTCAGGGATACAGCTGGGTAGTGAGCAGGGCTGCCTTTCAAGTACTGAAAATCCAAGACTCTGCCCCCCAAATACATATTTATGGATAGAATTGATACATGGACTTAGACTGTTCAGGGCCTCTACATTGCTACTTCTTTTTTTTATTCATAGGTCAACTGATCTTACAGATACAGTAAAACTTGACCCACCGTATTCATCTCACTAGGAGCAAAGCACCAAGTGGAGTGGGTCAGTTGACTATTTTTAGGTTGACTGTTGATTTGCTAATGGATTTGCAGTCTGCAACTGGAAAAACACCTATCCTGCATGATCTGTTTCATGCTCACATGAGAAACCTCTTCCAGAGTACACCCAGGAAATGTTGTCATTAGTTCCCTTTTGAATGCTGAGTGAGTCTTTATGGATTGTGGTTAGAGAAGTGATGGGATATTCATAGCCTTACCCACTTTTACTATTTTTTTTTTAAATAATAGCTTTGGACATGAAGTATTTAAAAATAATAATGCACATTCCAGGCAGAGGAGAGGGTTTTTGCTGGGCACTCTAGGTCCTAGGTTGTATGTGTGTTGTCGGTGGGTGCTGACCGCGCTGCTGGACAGCTCTGTCTGCCCCTTTCCCTTCGGCCCCTGTGCCTCTTGGCTACAGTGGCATGAAGAGATTTTCTGGAACTGAGCAAAGACCTTCCAGGGGCTTTATTGGTATTTATTGGTATTTATTGGTATTTATTGGTATTTATTGGTATTTATCAAACAGCGCATTCGTGAGAGTTGTCTTTCCTTCCCTTCTGATGTCCACATGTAAAAATATATTTAAAAAAATTAAAACAGATATGTCTACACACGAAAAAATACACAAAAGTCCATGTGTGAATTTTATTTATAAATATGTAAATTGGTTACTGTGTTTGGCCAACCAATATACATATTTATAAAACACAGTAACAACAAGTCTCATGGTGGAGACGTTACTGGGCCCACTCAAACAAGTGCATGAATAATGGGAGGACCCTGACTGTGATGTAAATTGGGGAGTGCAGTGTTGGGATCCAACCTAGGTTTTTCAGTACTTACAAGGCAACTGCTCTACCATCGAGAGTCTACTTATGCCTTTTGACTTCCCTGAAATGTATTAACAGACGGCTGTCAGGGCTGGGGAGGGGGCTCAGCTCAGGGCACGTCTGTTTTATGTGAGCCCTGGGTCTGGATTCTGGCACCCGTGTCCAGAGCAGGACTTGGCCTAGCACATAAGTTCCTTTTTGTAAGTTGGGAGGTGAGGACATGGATATTTCAGTGTGTAGAGCTTAACCTTAACCATAGCATGTCTTTGGAAAAATTTTGCTCTTGTTCTGTTCCTTTTATTTTTAAAACTTTACTATTATGAAAAGCATTTTCAGTTGAGATTAATCGATACTTTTTTTTTCCTTTAATAGGTTTTAAAATGGAACATTTTGACGCATCACTTAGTACCTATTTCAGGGCATGGCTCGGCCCCCGAGGTAAGGTGGTTTTTCATTTTTCTTCTTCTATTCTCCCATCCCCACTTTTAAATATTGCATAACAAGATTCTAGAAAATGTTGGTCTTTCTGTTGGCGGACTGCAGCTTTGTCCTGAATACTGAGGGGCTTGACTGCTATGCCCTGGCTGGAGCCGAGAACTGCCGCCCACCCTCTGCTCCAGCTCACCAGAAAGAGGCTCTTTTTTCCCTGAGGAGGCCACGCACACTGCCATTCCTGGCGGTTCGTTTGCATCGAGTCTCTGGTTGGACCTTGTTTCCAAAACACACGCTGCAATAGAAAGTTTGCAACTTTGGACCAGAGCTATAATACAGCCAGTAACGCATTTACCTTGAACGTGGCTGATCCAGGTTCAAGCCCATCTGATCAAGCATCGCCAGGAGTAACCCCTGAGCATCACCGGGTCTGACCCAAAAGCCAAAGGAAGAAAAAAAAAAAAAGAAAGTTTACAGCACTTCCTTTCACAATTTTAGTATCTTATTAAACATCCTTTTATATGTCATGTAAACAGATACACCTCCACTAAGTTTTTATAATTAGTCTTCTATTATACTTTCAGGACATGCAACCAGCTATATTGCCTCTTTAAAAGTGTCATCTGTAATGTTTCATAATATCTTAACTATAAAGAATTTTGCAGGCAGGGCCAGAGCCCAGTGAGTCTGCCTGTGTGTATGAGGTGCTGGACTTAATCCTAGTCACCACAAAATAAAACCAACAACAGCAACAATCTCTGTTAACTCCCTACTCCTGACAAACCCCTCCAACCCCTGGGTAAACAACCTTTATAGATTCCAGAAAAGGTCTTAGAAAAGCTAAAAGGAGCATTTTAATAGATGGGATGATTCTATTTCACTTATGATTTTTTTTTTTTGTGGTGGTGGGGGGCCTCCCTGGCTGTGCTCAGATCTTATTTTGGCTCTGCACCCAGGGATCACTCCTAGTGGGGGTTGGGGTTCCAGGGAATTGGAGTCGGCAGGCATCTTAGCCAGTGCATTGCGAAGTGCCTTAGCAATCTCTCTGGTCCCTCCTGACTTAACAGTTTTTTAAGTATAAAATCATGACAAAATTCTTCTATTAACATAGCAGAAATAGAATATGTTTGAGTACCCACTGTGGTGGTAGTGAGGAAGTAGAGAAAGAATTTCAGTTGGTGCGAAGACTTCTCTGGAAGGTCTTTGTATCTCATATGGAATTTTAAAATCACATCTTTGGGCCAGAGAGAGAGAGTACAGAGCTAAGGCGCTTACCTTGCATGTGGCCAAGCCAGCACCACAGTCTGCTCCCCGGAACATTGCCAGGTTTAACCCAAAAAACTATAATACTTTAAAAAAAATGTAAACATAGTTTGACTCAGTGTAACCCCCTCAGTTTAACTTCTCCATGGTTGATCTGGGTCAGTTAGCCCAAGATGTGTATGTGTAGACTTATACTTCAGCCAGTATTACTCACTGGTCACCCCCATCAAAGTATGGGGCAGATTAAATAAGCTACTGTCAGGGCTGGAGCAATAGCACAGCGGGGAGGGCGTTTGCCTTGCACGCAGCCGACCTAGGTGCGATTCCCAGCATCCCATATGGTCCTCCAAGCACCACCAGGAGTCATTCCTGAGTGCATGAGCCAGGAGTAACTCCTGTGCATCGCCGGGTGTGACCCAAAAAGCAACTGTCACTGTCACTGTCCTCCCGTTGTTTATCGATTTGCTCGAGTGGGCCCAGTAACGTCTCCATTGGAGACTTTGTTGTTACTGTGTTTGGCATATCGAATACATCACGGGTAGCTTGCCAGGCTCTGCCGAGCGGGTGAGATACTCTCGGTAGCTTGCCGGGCTCTCCGAGAGGGGTGGAGGAATCGAACCCGGCTCAGCCAGGCTGGCTGCGCGCAAGGCAAACACCCTACCACTGTGCTATTGCTCCAGCCCAAAAAAAGCTACTGTCAATGGGAAGAAATGAATCAGATAACCAATGTGCGCCTATGCAGAAACAGTGCCTTCCTTCAACTTGGAGGGGCTAATTCATTCTTTCTTTCATATCTGAAACAGTAATAAAATTAGTTGTTTATGAGGATGGGCCATGGCTGAGTTTTTTGTTGTTTTTCTTTTTTTTGGGGGGGGGCTTTTCATATGAGCCAGGGACCCGTACTTGTCATTTCATACATCCCGGCCCCCAGTTATCACAGCTCCGGCCTCATGCAGCCCCTCACCTTCCATGGTTCCAAGCATCTCCAGGCATCTCTTCCAGAGGATGAGGAAGGAATCCGTTCATGCTCATGGTTGTGAGAAGTAGGACACTGCCTCAGAGCCCTTCATGTCATCTCAGTGGCTGCAGTTACTTCTTGAGTCCATGTCTGAACCTGTCAGCAGAGAGCAGCCCCCTCTGCTTGGCCAGGTCCTTGCGCCAAGTGCTCCGGAAGTGTAACAAGCAGGTTGGACAGAAAACAAAAGATTTTCACACCCTCCACCTGCCTAGAATAGCTAGTAGGGAGCAGGGGAGGGATGTCTGCCTCTGAAGCCAAGGCACGAGGGGGCACCCTGGGAGAATGCAGGGTGTGTGCAAGAAAAAGAGGTGCGCTTGGTCCCACAGTGGAGCTTTTCACCCGGGCTTGTCCTCTGGAGAGAAAAGCCGTATGGTCAGGGAGGGCCAGGGTGGCTTCTCTGTGCCGTGGGTCCTGAGGCGGGCCTTGAGACCAGACGGGCTGGAGTTGCTGCAGGCTAAGGCTTTACCGTTGCAGGAGGCGGAGGAATGTGCTTCTGGGCTAGAACGAGTCTTGCAGGGAACAGGTAGCACCTTGGCGCTCTGGCGGCCTGGACTTAGCCTCCCTCCCTGGAGACAGCTGCCAGCTCACTGTTGCAGCTACCTGGACTAGTTCTTTGATCTTGCCTAGTTTAGAGGGGGGGAGCAGAGGACTGTGGGTCTCTTACGCCAGTGGCCCTAAGTCTGGCTTCTCTTTCTAGCTTCTCCTTGGGTCCCCGAGAGAGTCACTTCTCCGAGGGCTGCTCCACTTCCACAGCCATCGCGTCCTTGGCTCTGGACCCGATCCCACCTCCATGGCAAACACTGCCTTTCTGCCCACAACTGGCCAGTGGGCCCTGCGCCACCCAGGCCCTCCTGAGTCTGCCTGCGGGATGCACTTGCCGACACGGGGCCGAGAGTGCGGCCCCCGGAGTTCAAAGACTGTTTGTTTCTAGGGTTTCATCATCCCATGCATAATTCAACAAATCTGGTTCATAAATCCAGTTAATGGAAAGCAAAGCCTTCTCATTTTCTCTAAGAGTCTTTGAAAAGGATGTTCAAAAAAATTCTTTGACTAAGTAAAACCGTGTACAATGTATATTAAATTTCTTTGCTTCCTCTACTGGTTTACTTTGTTAGCATGAAACTTTAATGTGAGGTGACAAATAATCACTGAGAGAAATCCTTTTAATGTTTGAAAAAAAACTTGTGGCTTTTTTTTTTTTAAATATATGTTGCTGTCTTACTAATCACTCACTGTTTTTTTTTTCTTCCCCCCCCACCAGATACAAGGGTAAAAGGATGGTTTCTTCTGGACAATTACATCCCCACTTTTATCTGCTCCATCATATACTTACTAATTGTATGGCTGGGACCAAAATATATGAAGAATCGGCAGGCGTTCTCTTGCCGGGGAATTTTAGTGCTATATAACCTGGGACTCACGTTGCTGTCTCTCTATATGTTCGTTGAGGTAGGTTCCAAGTTCATGTGGGTCTCCTCACTTAAATACGTTCCATGTTGCTCTTCTGAACTGTGTTTCAAAACAAAAGAACATAGCTGGTGGGTGGAGGGACTTAGAAAGCAAGAACGTCAGTGCTTTTGGAGTATGTCTTAGAATTGATTTTTCTAAATGCCAGAGTTGTTTGCACAGATACACCTTTTAGAATATCTAAAATAGAAACCACTGTTATTGATTCTTCTGTTCCTTGCGTTTCATACTCAGAATCAAAATACTTTTCAGAAAAACTCTGATGCAAGCAAGGTAGAGAGGAAAATGAACAAAGCATACACACACACACACACACACACACACACACACACACACACACAAAACCCAAACCTGAAAATATTATTATAAGCCTTTTAATAAATCTGTCATCCTTGTTTGGAGGTGGGGGAGAAGAAACGGAGAGGTTCTTTTTGTTGGCTGTGTTTTGTAGAAAGTTGAGTCTCTGTTGCCATCCACGAGTCATAAATAGCCTTGAGATTTGACAAGTCATTTTTTTCAAAGTTAAGAAGAGTAAGATCAATGTTTAGAGTTTGAATGGTCTGTATAGGTTTACACCCAGATATCTCTTGTCTGCAGTTATTCGTCGATTGCCTCGAGCAGGCCCCAGTAACATCTCTTCGTCCTAGCCCTGAGATTTTTTTTAGAAAGTGTCATATTCAAGGCTCTTTCAGAGTTAGGAGAATGAGACCCATCATTGTTACTGGTATTTGGCATATTGGGTACGCCACGGGGAGTTTGCCAGACTCTGCCGTGTGGGCAGGCTACATTCGGTAGTCTGCAGTGAGTATCGAAGACGAAATTTGATGGTCTCAGAGACATTGTTGTAACCTACATTTGAAAATGAGAGGCAGATGACAGTCTCCGGGGACCTCCCCAGGGAAGCTGCCTTCTAGCACATGTGTAGAGGAAGGTGAACACCTTGAAAGCTTACAGCTCAAAGCTGTTGCTAACCTCTGGGGACGGGGAAATCAGCGGTAATAGAAGGAAAACTTTCGGGCACTCCTGTTGAGAGTTGCAGTCTTTTACTGCGGCTTTAATTCCCCAAGGTATAGTATAGATGACAAAGGAAGAAGACGAGGGGAGGCTGGTGCTAGCCTCAGAGGGACCAGGGAGTGTCCCTCAGCGTCAGGCTCTGCTGGTGTCTCCTGGGAGTGTGTGTGTGGGGAGAGAGAGAGAGAGAGAGAGAGAGAGAGAGAGAGAGAGAGAGAGAGAGAGAGAGAGGAGAGAGTGTCCCCGGATTTGAGGTCAGAGGTGCTGCCTCGCATGGGAGCTCTTGTTCTCCTGTGTGTGTGTTTCAGAAGCCGAATAAAGATTCATGACTAGGCTAGTGAGTTACTGTCATTGCTTGCATGCTTGACATCCCATAAAATGCCTACACTCCTGTGTGTGTGTGTGTGTGTGTGTGTGTGTGTGTGTGTGTGTGTGCTGTTGTATTTCTGTCCTGTTGTCTGGGGCTGGAGCTATAGCACAGCGGTAGGGCATTTGCCTTGCACACAGCCAACTATGGCTGACCCGAGTTCGATTCCTCTGCCCCTCTTGGAGAGCCCAGCAAGCTACCGAGAGTATCTCGCCCACATGACAAAGCCTGGCAAGCTACCTGTGATGTGTATTTGATATGCCAAACACAGTAACAAGTCTCATGATGGAGACGTTACTGGGCCCGCTCAAGCAAATCGATAAACAATGGGAGGACAGGCAGACAGACAGACTACAAATTCTGCATGATAAAAATTATAAAGATGTGGGGGGCCTATCAGCTAGAAAAGGGCTTAAGGTCCAGGCCTAGCATACAACAGCCCCTGTTTGACCCAGTACAGCGGGTAGGGTGTTTGCCTTGTATGCAGCTGACCCAGGTTTGATTCCCCCATCCCTCTCAGAGAGCCCAGCAAGCTACCAAGAGGATCCCACCCTCATGGTATAACCTGGCAAGCTCCCCATGACGTATTCGATATGCCAAAAACAGTAACAACAAGTCTCACAATGGAGACGGTACTGGGCCCGCTCGAGCAAATCGATGAACAACGGGAGGACAGTGACAGTGACAGTTCTAGATTGAAGGTGATGTAGTTGCATGAAGAGGGACTTCGAGGCCCACACAGGGTGCCTCTGTCTGCCCAAGGGACAGAAGCATGGTAAGCTTCCAGGCTCCCTGGCTGCAGTTTTCTTTCCCATAACTGATGCACGATAGAGCCATTCTGTTCCTTAAGAAAGCTTCGAGTCTGGTTCGGAGATACAGTACAGTGATAGGGTGCTTGCCCCATCTGGCTTTTATTCCTGGCGCCATATATGTTCCTCTGAGCATCACCAGGAGTGATCCCTGAGCACCACCAGGTGTGCCTCCAATGCTCACACCAAAAATGCCCCCAAAAAACTTGTTTTTGAATGTGTAGCAATATTTTGGGGGAAAAAACATCTTTCAGGTGGTTAAATCTTGCTGAATTCACACCTTTGCCTTCCGCGCAGTTGTCAGGAGCCGGAGGTCGAATTGTGACTTTATTATTTAACTTCTTAATATTCTGGTTAAGAGGGGAAGACAATTGCTGTTTCAATTGCCATTGTAGGTGGCTGGATTTGGGGAGATTCCAGAAGGGTTGTCAAGTAAAGTAAATGTTCTTTTTGGCATGTCGAGTAAGAGGTAATATAAGACTAAGCTGTTGAGGCCAGAGAGGTATAGGAAAGCTGTAGGAGTATTTGCCGGGTTCAATCCTTGGTATCCCGTATGGTCCTCCCAGCCTGCCAGGAGTGATTCCTGAGCACAGAGTCAGGATAACCCCTGAGCCCCACCAGGTGTGGGACACCCCTTCCTGCCCCTCCCCAGCCCCCAAAAATCAAATTGGGCTTTGTCTAAGCAACAGATACAGAATAGAGAAATAAACAGCCAGGGCAAGAGAGATATACAGGATTCAGGTGCTTGTCTTGCATGAAGCCGATCCCCTTTGATTTCCAGTTCTGCATATGTCCCCTGAGTACCACCACGAGTGATCCTTGATCCTTCAACACTTAGGGCGTAGGTGGAGCAAGAGAGGGGGAGAGATAGGAAGAACAGTTTTTGGTTTTTTGGTTTTTTTTTTTTTTTTTGCTTTTTGGGTCACACCCAGTGATGCCCAGGGGTTACTACTCCTGACTCATGCACTCAGGAATTACTCCTGGCGGTGCTCAGGGGACCATATGGGATGCTGGGAATTGAACCCGGGTCGGCTGTGTGTAAGGCAAACGCTAGGGAGAACAGTTTTAACTTAAAACTTAGAGTGCACAGAAAAGTAATGGATAAGGAGGAAGTTGGTGTGGGTTGTTTTTTTTTTTTTTTTTTTTGGTTTTTGGGTCACACCCAGCAATGCTCAAGGCTCTGCAATCAGGAATTACTTCTGACAGTACTCCGGGGAACCATATGGAATGCTGGGGATTGAACCCAGGTCAGTGTATACAAGGCAAACATCTTACCTGCTGTACTATCGCTCCAGCCCCAGGAGGCAGTAATTCTTAAGACAAATTTTTAAAAAAATTTCATACCAGGGCCTGAAGAGATAGCACAGCAGGTAGGGCGTGTGCCTTGCACACGGCCATCCCGGGTTCGATTCCCAGCATCCCATATGGTCCCCTGAGCACTGCCAGGAGTAACTTCTGAGTGCATGTTCCAGGAGTAACCCCTGTGCATCGCCAGGTGTGACCCAAAAAGCAAAAAAAAAAAAAAAATTCCATACCAGATCAGGTATGGATTATGCTGGAAGGAAGCATATTAAATAAAAGTGCTGGGATTGGGAAAAAACCCAGATTCGGCTCCCAACCCTGGACCCCAGCACAACCAGGAGTGGCCCAATCTCCAAAAGGATCGCTTAATACAGAGGATGCTTACATTTAGTTTTATCTGACTTTTTAATACTCAGATACCATAGTAGCATATCCGTTGAGTTAAAAAAAATGATTTTAGGCACTTTGAGCTATACTTAAGATAGCATTACATTTTCAAGAATATAAGGTTGGTATACCACACCCACCACTAGTGTATGTCAGAACTTTAAATTTCATTCTGGCTACTGGTATGCACTTTTTTACATCAAATCTAGAAGGGCAGTTATAAAGTTTGACAACATAGTAAGGAGATTGTGAAATTTATTTATTTATTTATTTATTTATTTGCTGTTTGGGTCACACCCAGAGGCGATGCACAGGGGCTACTCCTGGCTCTGCACTCAGAAATCACCCCTGGCCATGCTCAGGGGCCATATGGGATGCTGGGAATTGAACCCGGGTTGGCCGTGTGCAAGGCAAACGCCCTACCCGCTGTGCTATTGCTCCAGCCCCGAGATTGTGAAATTTAATTCAGGTTTTTATTTCAGAGATTTCAGAGCGATGTCCTAAGAGTTCCACCATCATAATCACTAATCTTTATTTATCCCGCCCTTAAAAAAATAAATATGTAGTCATAGATATCTTTGTTAGTTTAACCCTGTGACATGAGTTCATATCAGTCTTGGCAAGGTCTAAATTAATTCAAACAATGAACAGGTACTTGAAGGCCACGAGAAATCTTGAAAGAAAGAAGATCGAGATGAAAATGAAAGCCGGGAGGCACGGAACCTTAAGATTACTAGCGATGAACTAAGATAACCAAATGACAGTTTTTAAGCTGTGAAATGGAGCATGAAAAGTGTAGGTGAAGGAGATTTGTTCATCGTTTATACATTTGGTAGAAAGAAAATCGAAAGGGAGAGGGTAGGGATATGGCTCAGTGATGAGGCACTTGCTTGCATGTGCGAGAGTCCGGGTTCGATTCCAGAACTGCAAGCCAAAATAAAAAACAACGGAAGGACAGTGCTACAGTGCTAATCTTCTATTTAAAGTTAATATTTTTAATTTTTTATTTATTTTTTTTATTAGTGAAACACCATGAGGTACAGTTGTAGATTTACAATTTTTTGTGCTTGTGTTTCGATTATACAATGATCAGATACCCATCCCTC